ACCCCTCATGAGAACGGGGTACGAGGCAGAATAATCTCTTCCACGGCGCAAAATGAGCCTCGACGCCCAAGAAGGCTGGGGGAAGAAATCCCTTGGTTTGGAGCGTCACTAGCTTGCTATGCGGGACTGAGCATCTCTCCCAATCCCCAGGCTGGGGGCTGGGAGCGCGAGAGGAGGAGCCGCGTCGACTGTCCATGATGGAATGGATTTTTTGTCAGAGGCGCTCCGATGAAAGCTTGCGGAGGGGGGCTGTGATTCGGATCTAGATCCTCGTCTCTTTTTATAGGCGGCTCATTTGCGCAGCTAGGGGGGAAAGTGTAAAAATACCCTGGCTTTTCGCATTCGTTCGACACGTGGAAGATGGCCATTATTGGGTGTGAAAGCCAGGGAGCGCAACATTTATCACAAGCCGGACACTATTCGACAAGTATATGGAATTTGGAGAAGAACCCGCCTCGCAATGCCGAAGACAATCTACCCGCCGGACTCGTCGTCATTGAAGCCTGGTTCAGGGGCTACTGAGGGAGTCCTGGATTAGGGGGTGTCCGGATAGCCGAACTATCACCGTTGGCCGGACTCCTGGACTATGAAGATACAAGATTGAAGACTTCGTCCCGTGTCCGGATGAGACTTTCCTTGGCGTGGAAGGCAAGCTTGGCGATACGGATATGTAGATCTCCTATCATTGTAACCGACTCTGTGTAACCCTAACCCTCTCAGATGTCTATATAAACCGGAGGGTTTTAGTCCGTAGGACGAACAACAATCATACCATAGGCTAGCTTCTAGGGTTTAGCCTCTTTGATCTCGTGGTAGATCTACTCTTGTACTACCCATATCATCAATATTAATCAAGCAGGAGTAGGGTTTTACCTCCACCGAGAGGGCCCGAACCTAGGTAAAAACATCGTGTCCCTTGTCTCCTGTTACCATCCGCCTAGACGCACAGTTTGGGACCCCCTAGCCGAGATCCGCTGGTTTTGGCACCGACACCGGGGCACCTTTAATTTTCAAAAGCTACTTTCAGTATAAACTTTGTGAAACTTTAAGTTTTTTACTGCAACATACTAAAACATGCAATAGGAATGATTATCAATTACTATAATGGAATAGTTGTTCTGTCATGATTCTTCAAAATTACTCCTTGTACATTCATTTGCTTATTAGCATCGTCATGCCCTTCTTATTTGCTGGCGCTTCAGCTATTCCTAATTAATCCGACAATCAACCACGTAGTTATATATTGTGCGTTGTTTTGACATTTCTTTGATTATTTTCAAGAAACAGAAGTGAATGTAATTTTTTTTAGGACAGAAGTGTATGTAATTTCATATTGCAAGTACACGCAAACACTGCCTTTCATCAAACAATTTACTCGGCTAAGATTCAGAAAACTACTCCCTCCGTTCCAAAATAGATGACTCAACTTTGTAAAAAACTTTAGTATAAAATTAATACAAAGTTGAGTTATCTATTTTAAAACGGAGGGAATACAAGCTATACATAACTTTCATTGCATCAAGAGTTCTACATGGTATGTACATACCTGGATTCGACAGTCCGGCAAGCAGCCCAGTAAACTCAACCCCGTACAGACCCTTCATGCCTTTATGAGGTGTAGGTATAGGGAGCAAAAAAGCTGGGCATAAGTTAGGGCAAAATCGTTAAGATATAAGACGCCTCTCACATCGGCGGCGGTGATGAGGCGTACACTGAAGCTGCTGCAGCGGCGGTGCCACGGTGAGGCGTGGTTGTCTCGCTTCCGCAATCCGCTGCCATGCGGCCTCGCAGCCTGCCGGCGATGAGGTTTTGAGGCGATCGGCGAAAAAAAAGACGAACAGACTGCAGGCGATTGTCATCGTGCGTGATGTAAACCGACGAAATCACTCCCCCATGTTACGCCGCACAATCCGCTCTCGCTCCCTGGTTGATCGATCTCACTAAAACGTAACCAGTGCAGGTAATGTAGGCCCAGTTATAACATTTTACAAACTGTATTAGCATAGGCCCAGTCGTATTAACGGACAGACTTTGGGGGCCCCTCGTTTTCGGGGGCCCGGGGCGGCCGCCCCACCTGCCCCCCATCAGGGCCGGGCCTGTATACGGAGCAAAATATGTGAATCTACACTCTAAAATATGTTTACGTACACCCGTGTATAGTTTATATTAAAATCTCTAAAAAGACTTATATTTAGGAACGAAGGGAGTACTTCTCCCACGTTATATATGCCAAAAACTAATGCACAACAACGTAAACCTACTTACTGTATCCTTTTTTTGAAACTCATACCTTAATTAACTAGTTAGAATATTCGGTGAAGGACCAAACGTTTATGTATATAAGGAGTATCTTACGATTTGTATGTGGCTAGCAAATCCAAAATCATCTCGGAAAACAACACATAGATGTACACGCCTGTAGGGTTTGCTTTCTATCAAGTGAAGGCAGCGACAATTGACTAGGTTTATTTCACCGAACTAATGCCATGCAAAACACATTACGTCAAAGTACAATGATTGATTACATAATCTAATAAGTGATAAATTGGTCCTTAGCTGAATCTCAGACAAACTAGTACGTAACATCTATATAAAGAAACCAAAGCAAGCACTATCAATACCGCAATACCTCGCTAACAACCACATGTCCATATCTCAAACACGCCGTCAGTTTTGCAGGATTTCTCTTGGACGTGAGGCAGTGATGAGTTTTTTGAAAGAGCCCTGTCGATGGAGACGCACCACCAGAGGAAGATGGCGAGCGCCACGGCCAATACATACGAGAGGCAGTTGGAGAACCGGGGGTCCTCGGTATACTGTCCCCACGAAAACGACACAAGGACTATGATCATGACCACTGCAGGGCTGTTGACGAGGATGCAGGCGACGAGTTTCGGCATGGCGCCCAAGTTGCGCACCCAACACCAACGGATGTACAAAGCCATTAACGCCATGTATACGGCGGCTAAGGAGCTGGCCACGCAATTGAAGACGCATGGATTGTCCGAACCGAAGCTGCATGAAGTCTTCGACTCCTCGTAGCGCAATTTTGCTACATAATATATGAAGGAAACAGAATACAGCGTCATGTACATGTCCCATTTGATCCATGCGTGAGCTTCTTGCTTGACCGGTGGCGGCGCAGACCACGACAGATGAAAGTGAAAAGGCATGGCGCAGAGGACGAAAAGCGGCGGCGGGGCAAATCGACTTAGGGCAAAACTACCTACGTGATTCCCTCAAGATAATATATAGAAGGGGGTTAAAATCCGTGGCAGCCATCGTTGTTAAAACAAAAGAGCATATCTGTAGCCCATGGGCTGCTACAATACCGCCAATGGGCTGTCCCAGACGGACATACGAGAGGCAGTTGGAGAGCTCCTATTGGGCGCTCGCTGCGTCCGATAAGCGTGCGACGGACAGGAGGGGTCCGTCCGTCGGGGACAGCCCATTGGCGGCATTATAGCATGCAAGAGCATCTCCCGTAATGAAACCCTTAAATGATTCTAAAAGGTTAAACCCTTAAATTAGCAGGTTTGGTTGAAAAAGATGCATCAAATAGATCCCATAAAACGGCATATCCCGAAAAATATTTTTCGGATCTCCGCATATTATCACATTCATACCCCATACTTACAGCCTTGGGAGTCAATTTTTGAGCTGAACCGAAAAGAAGTCAAGCAAGGAGCAGCCGGAGCAACTCGGCAGCGCCTGGCTGCAACGTTGCCGGAGCAAGTGGCCGGCCGGATCGGCGCCGGAGCAAGCGGACAGGCAGCAGCCTAGCACGGGGTCCGCGACGGCCGAGCCTAGACGGGTGCGTAGCATGGGCGGCTGCCGGGGACGCAAGCGGTGGCACCTCACCGGCCCGGGTTTGCACGGGGTCAGGCAGGGAAGAAGAATGGGGAGAAAAAGAAGAGTAAAGAAAATATTTATTTTATTTGCAGTATAGTTTTTCAGCATATGTTCTAGCGCAGGCCATCTTATACCGCAAAAGAATTTACAGTTCACCATAAACTGATTTTACAATACCGCCATGTAAGGGATTTGCTAGAAATTCTCTTACATGCTACTGTAACACGCGTTAGGGCTGCAAAAGAGTTGAGTTTGAGTGGGTTGGGCTAGGTTCAAGTCATGTTATAATAAAATTCGAGTGATTCTAAACTGAGCGAATCTCAAGGTCGAGCGATCAGAGAGTGGCTCATGCTTATCTTGTAGTCTTCTACCGATGTCATGCCTATCTCAGCCATTTTCGAGCTAAATAACACGAATTGTTTTAATATTCTAAGATAAAATATTCAAAAAGACATGCTAAAACACAACATAATAAGATACTATTACTATCAAAACAATGATAATATAAAAATTCAAGGTAGTTTGACGTATTCTTTCTCAATTGAAGGCTACTACTCCCTCCATTCAAAATATAAGGTGTATTAGGTTTTTCAAAAGTCAAATATCTGTATTTTTGGCTTGACATATTTGTAGAGATTTCACTATGAACTACAATACGGAGCAAATGAGTGAATTTACACTCTAAAAAATATATAAATATACATATAACTTTGTATGTGGTTTATGATGAAATCTGTACAAAGACTTATATTTTAAAACGGAAGGAGCCAAAAGATGGTCAATCTCGAGTGGCTAACAAGCCTCTGGCTTTTCTAGCAGCCCAAATAGTGTGCGAGGTTACTGTGACATTGCAGCACACAAGTTTACTATACTAAACGATTCAATAAAAATGCACGCAATTTTTCATAAAAGTAAACTTTTTCCGAAAACGTGAAAATTTTCAAGTTTTTAGGATTTGCTTTCTACACAATGAAGGCAGCGACAATTCACTACAGTAGGTGTGATTCCCGGAATAAATGTCAAGTAATAAATACATACGGTCAAAGTACAATGAATTATTGCATCATCTAACAACCAGATTAGACAGTCCTTAACAGAATCTCAGAAATTTATAATAAGTCAAAGCAAGCACTAGCAATGGTACCTCTCTAATAATCACATGTGAAAATATGGAGCACGCCTCCATTTTTGCATGTTTCTTCTTGGAGGTGAGGCAGTGGTGAGTTCTTTGAAAGAATCCTGTCTATGGAGATGCACCACCAGAGGAAGACGACGAGCGCCGCCGCCAATACACACGAGAGGCAGGTGGCGAACTGGGGATCCCCAAAAAGATGTCCCCACAAGAACGTCGGGGCGACTATGATCGTGACCGCTGCAGGGCTGTTGTCGAGGATGCAGACGACGGCTATCGGCATGGCGCTCAAGTTGCGTAACCAACGCCAGCGGATGTACAAAGCCATTACCGCCATGTATTCCACGGCAAAGAGGCTTGCCACAGAATTGAAGACGCATGGGTTGTCTGAACTGAAGGCGCATGAAGTCTTTAACTCCTCGAAGCGTGCTTTTACGAAAAAATATACTCCCTCCATTTCAAAATATAGTGCGCCCACGCTTTTCGAGGTTCAACTTTGACCATAAATTTAACCAACGAGACCAACTGCGGCGGGAGAAAAAAATATATAATTGAAAACTTCTTTTGAATACGAATTCACTGATATAATTTTTGCTCCCGCCGCAATCGGTCCTAGTAGTTAAATTTGCGGTCAAAGTTGAAGCACGAGGATAGAGGAGGCACTACATTGTGGAATGGAGGGAGTATTGCTGAAACAGAGACCAACGCCATGTATATGTCCTGGAAGATCCATGCGTGAGCTGCTTGCTCCGCCGGTGGCGGCGCAGACCATGACAGATGACAATGAAAATGAAAAGGCATGACGCAGAGGTGGCTGGCGGTGGCGGCGATCGACTTAGGGCAAAAACTGCCTGGTTGAATCCCTCACGATAATACTCTTATCCCGTCGCAGAGCTGAGGGCCTCCTCCACGGCCCTGTTCTTCTTTTGTTTTGTTTTTTATTAAACTCCTCTACGGCCCGTTCGGATGGCCCTTTAATCACGCACCAAAGTTGTTATTATAGATCAAAAGTAACTAAATCACTAATTAAGGAGTACTCCTTGCGGAGATCACTCTAATTTTTCCAGGTTGCGACAAGTGGCGCACAGTGGCGCGTTGCATGTGCGCCACTTGTCGCAACCTGGGAGTTTTCTTTTTTTGTAGATCCGTTTATTTAAAATGTTTTATCTCTTAAACCATGCATCCAAATCTCGAATCGCTTTCGTCATTGGATTCCTCGCGTCGAGATCTTCAAAACTAGATCTCATGTTCATAGGTTTTGACGAACTTTTTTTTCATGAAAAAATCGGACGAAAAAACCGAACCGGAAACACGGTTTTTTTCCTTTCCGAAAGAGGCACGCCCGTGCCTCTGACGAAAGCAAAACCGTGCCTCTCGTAAAAAAACAGAAAACGCGTTTTTTTCCTTTTTCGAAAGAGGCACGCCCGTGCCTCTCGCGAAAGCACTACCGTGCCTTTGGCGGAAGCAAAATCGTGCCTCTCATGAAAGAAAAAAAAATAGAAAATGCGTTTTTTCCCTTTCCGAAAGAGGCACGCCCGTGCCTCTCACGAAAGCACAACCGTGTGTCTGGCGGAAGCAAAACCGTGCCTCTCGCGAAAGAAGAAAAAAACAGAAAACGCGTTTTTTTCCTTTCCGAAAGAGGCACGCCCGTGCCTCTCGCGAAAGCACAACCGTGCCTCTGGCGAAAGCAAAACCGTGCCTCTCGCAAAAAAAATGCATTTTTTTGCGCAAAAGAATTATTTTTTTCGAAAAAAAAAATTTGGTCGAAAAGCTAGGGAAGACCGGTAGAAAACCAAAACGTCAAAAAAAACAAAAAAAACCTTTTAAAAAGCCGAAAACGCGTGCGTAAAAATAAAAAAACAAAATCCGGAGAGAGCGCCCAGAACGCGACACGTGGCGAATGGCTGTGAGGGCGCCAAGTGGGGCTGATCGTTGCGAGGCTCCCAAAGGAGCGCTCGTTAATTAGTTGCTCCCCTAAAACAAAACGTATCCCTAATCCCCTATGGGCGAGCGAATCAAGCTGGCTCATTAGAGGTGCTGCCTGTTCTAAAAAAAAAAAAGAGGTGCTGTCGTTTTTGTTGCTATTGGTTCGCTCTTCTTTGGTTTTCTTGGGATTTTTTCTTTTTCATTTCTTTTGGTTTTTCTTTGTTTTTTCACTGGTTTTTGGTGGTTTTTCTTTTTTTGATACTTTGTTTTTCCAGTGACTTTTTACGGTTCTTTTTTCTTCATTATACTTTGCTCTCCTTTGTTTCTTTCATGGTTTCTTTGGTCTTTTATTTTCTTCTGTTTTTTGTTGATTTTTATTGGATTTCCTTTTTTAGCACAGATCTACTTTTTCTCAATAAACAATGTATCTCTACTCTTAATGTCCGAGTTGGTGAATATTATTTATGATTTATTTTCGTCCAATAACTTTCGTCCGTTTTATTTCGCTGGTTTTTTCCGCCTCTTCCCACCAACCCCTCCTACCCTGGTTCATCGATTTATTTTTCTCTCCACTCTATTACAACCAGAACTTTCCTAACGTATAACAAATCACGGATCTAAATTCACTTAGTTATGCAAATCAATCGATCTCTTCTATTAGTGCAATTTGGTTTAGAAAACAAATAACAGATTTTCAGGAAACAAATAATAAATTTTAATCTAACTTTCCTAACTTATTCAAACCAATCAATTCCTCTCATTACAGAAATTTGTTTTAGGAAACAGATGGCAGATTTTTAGGAAGCAAATAACGGGTTTTAAGGAAATAAACAAATAACAGATTTGTGCTCCTACGCTGACCTCTGGGACCGTCGGCGTCGGCGCCATTGCAACTCCCGGACATGCAACGACAAGCATTGGCGCGTCGTCGCGGGTGGCAGCGAGGACGACGGCCCATGGCAACCCCGAAGCACCACCATGACAGCACCTCGCCGCGGCCCCTCGGCATGGGTTGGCGCCCCCCTTCCAAGAGATGTGCAAGCTCCCGTGATTCCCACTCGACCCCCTCCCCTGAATTCCTAGATTGCTTGCTCTCCACTGATAGCTTGAGTCGGCAGCAAGTGGGTCCAATCTCAATTTCGTTGCGGATGTGCTTTGGGATTTTGCATGTAGTTGTCGATTCTATGATTTGCCTCTGGTAAATGTGAGTGAACACTGATCCATTGTCATATGGCTGCTGAGATGAATTCCTGTTGTGATTAAAATTGTGTTGGTGCTCCAGGAGGGATAGGAGCTCGTTGATCATCAGGCTTATAAGTATCTCCTTGCTGAATATCAGGTTGTGTTTTCTCTCTACTTCATGTTTTTTTCTTACAAGCAAATATAGTATGCAATTCATATTTACCGAAAAAGGGTTTCCCCCGCTTTGTATACAAAGCAACCAACCAAACCATATAGAGATAGGTGCTGGGGCGGAAGCAGCACAGTCACACCCAAAAGAAACGACAGAGAAAGAGCAAAAGAAACAAATGCCGACAACGGCGGATCAACAAAAACGAAGAAGCCTTGCGATCACTGCGCCCACCGGGATCTTCCACTAGGCTCCAAGACTTCGAAGCGCCGGCACCTATCAACACCTCAGAAGGATTGCGATGATGACGACGCTGCTGCCAAGGGTTTTCCCCGGTACACGACGAGGCGAGAGGAAGGGTAGCCCCGGACGCCCTCCCGGAAGGTCAGGTGGCACCCACAGGCGCCACCGCGCCGGTGTCGGCCACGCCGACAGGGGTTTCCCCCAATCCTAACCTGCACCTCGGATGCTCCGGATCCAGCCACCAAACCAACCACCACCATGCGCCAACGCGGTCATGAGGCCCCCACGCCGTCTCATCACGGCACCGCAAAGTGAGGATAGCGCGGCGAAGAATCAGAGCCGGGACTAGGGCATCAGCACCGTCGGCACGCGGGAGGGCCCCACCTCCACCGTCAGCGACGGTAGCCGTCCGAACGCAATAGCAGGAGCACACCAGGCCCGTGGGCCCACAGGCCCGGCCGAGCCCTCGTGGGCCCGTAAAGCTCCCACCTTCGCGCTGCTGCCGGCACGCCAGCGGTGCCGACACCCCAAATACGAGCCGCTCCTCCTCCTCACCGCGCCGCAGACAACGGGGCCACGCTAGGGGCCGGCTCGCTAGGACCCAGATGGGGCCCGCAGGGCCCAGATCTGGGTTGGGGCGCGACGTCGGCCACCCCGCACCACCACGCCGCCCCGCCGCCAAGGAGCAGCGCGGCCACCACGTCCGCCGCCGGCCACCCCGCCGGGTCACCGGACCGCCAAGCCGAGCGACACCGCACTACTAGGAAAAGGGCTATAGCTAATATGGACATTACTGGCGCACCATGTATGTGGTGCGCCACTGCTATATAGCAGTGGCGCACCAGATACAGGTGCGCCATTAGTGTCCTCATTACTAATGGTGCACCACACACACGGTGCGCCATTACTACCAATTTTTTTCCCGAAACTATTAATGGCGCACCAAGGCACAGTGCGCCATTACTAGTTTTAACTAGTAACGGGGCACCACACACTCTGTGCGCCAGTACTAATAAATTTTTTTTACTTTTTTTTCAAAACTAGTAATGGCGCACCAGGGTAAAGTGCGCCATTACTAGTTCAAACTAGTAATGGCGCACCACAACCACGGTGCGCCACTACTAACAATTTTTTTTTTGCAAAACTAGTAATGGCGCACCACGTAAGAGGTGCGCCGTTAGTAACCAGGGTAACTAATGGCACATTATTAGGTGGTGCGCCATTGGTAACCTGAGAGCAGCTAGATATTTTGGACAGCCACCTACCACACTCACTTTCCCCACTTCATTCTCTCCACCTCCTCCTCCAAGCTTGTCTCGGCTGCCTCCTCCTCCTCACCTCATTGGCACCATAGATTCACCCAAATTAAGTGGTTAAATTACCTTTTTTTGATAGGTAAGTAAGGGGAAAGCTTTCTTTATGTTGTAGATCTACTTTTTTATCCCTCCAACAATGTGCACATGCACTTTTTATGGCCTAGATCTACGTATGTTTGTGGTGTTGCATATGTTTGTGGTGTTGCATATGTTTGTGTTTGCAGGTACCGGTATTTGAAATGAGGTAGTTGCCAATATTTTGCCGGAATGTTGATTCATTTCCGTTTCGACGAGAATTTGGCATTATGCATTCTTTTTGGTCCTATTTTTAGGCAAAGTCATGCCAAATTTTTTCTTGGTTCTAAAATATCGTTTTGCTCTACCCCGCAGGCGACCATGGTCCGCACAATGACCGAAGGCATCGTGAATAGGTTTTTCAGCTCCTCGAAGGCCGAGATGCTTCAAAAGAATGAGATGGAGATAAGATGTCCGTGTCGAAGATGCAAGCTGAAGAGCCTTATTACAGACCCAGATTCCGGACAAGTGCGGGATCACCTGCTCTTGCGTGGTTTCAGGGATGGCTATCGGTGGCAAGGTGATGAAGATGACTATCAAGTCATCCATGGGGGCCAGGCAAGAAATGAGGAAGGACAACAAGACAACCAGCGCAGCGTGGGAGGGCGAGAAGACGAAGAATCTCCAGGACATGATCACCACGATGATGCAGTACACAGTCATCATGTAGAAGATGCCGGACATGATGATGAGGAAGATCAAGACGAAGGGCATGATCATGAAGATGAAGATGCCAGAGCAGACGACGATGGACCATCGATGGGCTGGGTGCAGGACCCTCATATTCAAGAGCTGCTTCT